GGCTCCCAATCAAGATAAGACCACAGTGACCTCTTTACCTCCGTTTGGGGGATCTTTAAACCATCACCAAAAACACAAAAAAAAAAAACTCACCCAAAACCCCCCCCCCAAAATGAAATCCCCGGGGCTCTAACAACACCCCGGGACAAGGGGGTTTGACAATTGGTGATTCAATATAAAATTACTTTAATCTGATAAAACAATTTGTTAAAAAGAGAAAATAAAGAAATGATAATTAAATATTTTTTCATTTTATGAATGTATACCCAAAGGGAAGTTCAATAAACTTTAACGGGGACATGGCGATAGCTTACTGACCCAAAAACAAAGGGGTTTATTTTTTCATAAATAAAGTTAAAACATACATTGTTTTTAGGGTAAAGGGGGGACTAACATATAATAAACTTTTTTGAAATGAATGTTGTTCAAAAATTTATAAAATATTGTTAAATTTACTTTTACTTGTCGGGGTCAGGGGGACACAAAAGGCACCGGATTGTAGGAGACCCCCCTTTTTTTTTATACCCTCGCTGAAAAAAAAGAAGGCTGAGTCATGGGTAAAATCAAATACTAAAAGATGATTATAAAACAGAAGAGCTGATCAACTGGGTTCAATCAGATCACTCAAAGAGATTATAATAAAGAGCTGAGTCAACTGGGTTTCAATCAGAATCACTCAAAGATGATTATAATAACAGAAAGAGCACACAAAGAATCAGCAATGGTGTCAATTCTATCACTGTGCTTATTATCATGATGTCATACACTTGACTCTCTCTCCTTTATGGATACCTTCGCTGAAGTGTAAGTCACACCATTGTAGGTGCCGTTGGATGGGAAGACCAGCTGGCTGCCATTCATGCAGGTGACTTTCACTGTGGCCCTGTAGTCGAGGTCGATATTTGCTCTCCCCACTGTGACTTCAACATCCAAGGTCTTCCATGGCGGGATCTTCAGTTGGATTGTATCCGCTTCTGTTATGGTCTCTGTCTTCTGCAGACTGGTGGAATGCTCCACTCCCACGGTCAAGCTGTACCCCTGATGACACCTCGACCAGCTCCGGGATCCCCGCTTTGACCGACACGTTCAAGGTGGCCTCTATCTTGTTGCTGACCGACCAGGAGGAAGTCTTAGTCACGGTCTTGCTGTATTCAATGGACTCTTCTTGAACCAAGGACGTGTTGTTTTGGAGAGACACGGACTTCACATATTCTGGGGTCACCTAAAATCAACACACACACAAAGATAGAAATTGTTCAAACAAGACAAAGACAATTTAAGAACTAATCATCAGTGAGGAACTGATCAATTGATTTTTAGAAGGCCAATGATAATAACTAATATGTGTGTGTGTGCCGTCTTGGCCTGATTTAAAAAATGCATATGGTATAAAAAACATTTGGGTGTTGAGGCTATTTTAAACAAAAGACATGACTGTCCTAGAAATGAGATGCCTGAGGCACCAAAGATTGTCGACCCCCGTATTGGATTACATGTTTTAAAGTGGACAGCCCCCTTAAAGTTTGAGCATTGGTAGAGTTTTCCTTAGCCATTGTAGTGTATGGAGAATTATGACTTTGCTAATGTTTTTAAGTGGAACCTGAGAGGATGTTTATTCAGTTTCAGAGGGAGCCGTTTTAGAGTGACACCCCATAGAACAGAGGAAGTCTGTTTGTTGGAGACAGGTGATTGGTCAGTATGGGGAACCACCCATATTTTGGGAAAGATTATAAGTACTGGGTTTGAACAAAGAAGATCAGAGCAGACATATTCTTTTGGGACACTGTTCTCCGGATGCTATAGACATCTGTAAACTTATGCTGAAATCTTGTGATATAAATAAAACCTATGATCAAAGCTCGGTATAAGCGGACTCCTTTGTTACAGCATAATTAGCCACATTAACTCGACAATACACCATCTACACACGTCTATAGCAGAGCTCACCTGGGGTTTGAGGAAGGACAGGGTGGGATACTCCATGTCGGTCAGCATGGACGACTTGATGGGGTTGATGAAGAGGAAGCCCATGCAGTCGATATCCGAGCCAGACCTCCCCTCCAGCCCCAGGCAGATTCCGGACCCCACATCTATGGTGTACTCAGTCTTCAGGGGCCAGCTAGTCATTTTTTCAAAGAACTGCCGGTTCTTACTCGTCGTGAACTTGATGGCACCCAGACGTGTGCCGGCGCCGTTACCCCACAGTGACAGATTGGTGATGTGCTCGCCGAGGTCGAACTCAAACTCATTGAAAGTGTGCGCATTTCCAAAGGTTGCCACGCGCCCGTCGGTCAGCTCCGCACGCACAGCTTTGACCTGCCAGCCTCCCACCGCCACTCCGATCTTCCTGAGGGTGGCACCGTTGTTCATGCCGTGGAATTCAAATGGTGCGCCTCCTCGACCACCGATAATGTACAGTTCGGTTGCCATGTGGAGTGGTGTGTGCGGCGTCCCGTAACCTCAAATAGAAATTTGCACAGATAAATGTATGCAGCCTCCAACTCAAAGGAGAACTGATTCAGACATTCAAAGAACCAAAAGGAAATCAAGGAACAAGATTAAAGGAGAAAACGATAACCAAGGGATATATTTTATCATGGTAAGAACTAGAGGTCGAGCAACACATCAGTCAAGGGTAGGGCTCTCCAACCCTGTTCCTGGAGAGCTACACTCCTGTAGGTTTCCACTCCAACCCTGTTCCTGGAGAGCTACACTCCTGTAGGTTTTCACACCAACCCTGTTCCTGGAGAGCTACACTCCTGTAGGTTTCCACTCCAACCCCAGTTGTAAATAACCTGATTCAGCTTATCAACCAGTTCATTATTAGAATTAGGTGGACTAGATTGGGATTGGAGCGAAAACCTACAGGACGGTAGCTCTGGTCTAGGGTGACGAAACCGCACCACAATCCTCAGGTCACTAAGAAATGACACATTCATAAATTGTTCCTTAAACTCCTCCTCATCCTCCACCCTCCTCTGATCTTCTCCATCTCTATTCATCTGGAATCTATCACACACACTCAGCTAGGAACCTCAGAGTCACCATGGAGTCCCTCTCCTACTCCCAGCACATCCCCACGTAACTCCTGCTGCTTCTTCCTGATCAACATGGTGACCTATGTGTAATGATGTCTATAAACATATTGTTGTGTAAGTGAGCACGTCTCTATGCACTTCTAAAATGTATTCTGATGTTGCTACAATGACGAATAATCATGAATAATGATGAGTACAAATGTTACAGATGCCACATCAGAATATGATAATCTGCCCTATAATGATGAGTATGAAAGTTTTAGATACCATGTCAGAATATGATAACCTGCACTATAATGATGAGTATGAAAGTTATAGATACCATGTCAGAATATGAGGTGTTTATGGTGCTGAAACTCACTTCTCCAAACAAAGGTGTTGCTTTGAAATATCTGAAAGAATAAAGATTGAATTGAATTAATATATAACAATATTCTTTAAGACAGGCTGCAGTATACACAGGTATGCATTAATAAATTATAATATAGAACATTATTCTTTAAGACAAGCTGCAGTATTCACAGTTATGTATTAATATATTATAATATAGGACAATATTCTTTAAGACTGTCACGTCTCCTCCCATTGCTCCCCTCCAGCGCTCTGATTCGCCGGTCTACTGAGCCACCGGTCTGAGCGCACACCTCGGCAACACCGGAATGGAAACCCAACGCACCCTGATCACCTCCAGCGCACCTGCACCTCATCATCTCATCACCACCCCTATATAGCCCAGGGCTGTTCAGTGTTGTGTTGTGTGTGATTGTTAGTGTCGTGTCCTCCCACTTTGTTGTTCTCGTGCGCAGTGTTTAAGTAAACCTTTACATTGTTGATTCCTGCGTCTTCATATCCTCAGTACTCGTCACAAAGACAGAGACTGCAGTATTCACAAGTATGTATTAATATATCATAATATAGAACAATATTATTTAAGACAGGCTGCAGTATTCACAGGTATGCATTAATATATTATGACACTGTCTAATATAGAACAGGGTCTGTCAACCTTTTAAAGTATCTGTCCAGTTAATTAGTAATAAAATCAACATTAGTTATTTTGTTCACATAGCAAGATGAGTTGTTAAATGCTTATGCAGGCCTCAGTTTCAAAGATGGATATAGATTATCTGATATAAGTAAGCTTTCATGTTAAAGCTGCATTAGGTAAGATTTTTATGAAACAATTTGGTGAAATTGTCATCACACTCTGTCAGCTATCAGTATGTAAAATGCTTCTGAGAGAAGACCCAGCTTCTATGACTTCCCTCTCACTCTGCCATCGCTCCCTGAAAAATAGTTCCAGCCAATCGTGTCTCTAATAGGGAAGTACCTGACTAACGTGTACAAATAGTTAGATTTAAACAGAAATATACGTGATGAATTATAACAATTAGTTCAAGAATTTGGAACCTGACATTTCAGTACCCAACACTAGATGTGTCAATCAGTGTAATCAAGATGAAGACACAGCTTGATGTAAAGCACTAGACTCAACAGTCTACTCACATTAAACATCATACTGACATAATACTTTTGCATTCAAACCGAACAATACGAGGCCAAAGTCAACCATGTGAAAACAAGGCAACAGTAAACATGTCGTCCCCCACGAATGATGCAGCACCCCGCCTTGGGCCAATTGAGATATCGCGTGTGACTAACCAATTGCAGTTAATTACCATAGCTCCCACCTTAGGCCAATCAGTGTAATTTTTATAAATGCCGGAACTCTACGGCAAGATGAATCATTCAGCAAGTTTTGTCAAAATCATCCTGTCTGAGACATTGTGTGTGACTAACGTACAAACAAATGTATGAACGAACGGACTGACAGAGACAGATCCGTAGTCCCCTCCCCAATTTCATTGTGTGTGACAACAAACCCATACCATGCTTGTTCAGCTAGACTATAACTGATTTTAAGCAACTGTTTCAGAATATAGGAAGCATTTGTTCCCTGAAATGTTTTGTTCATTAATTGGTCAAAATAAAAATGTAGCTCTCAAATATTTCCTCATATAGCAAGATTAGTTATTTAGGAACATCTTGTACTTACATACAATTCTGTGCAGGCCTCAGTGTTAAGGATGACTATAGAAGATCTTGATTGAAGTAAACTGATAGGTCTGATTTCGATATGCAATAAACTTGTTTACCAGAAAAGAGTCAAGACTCAGTTCATTTGTTTAACACCAAAGACGCAACAGCGGAATAAGTGTCTCTGGAGTGGAGCAGCACTCTCTTATAAAGCAGCAAAACTCCCCCCACGCCCATACAATGATATGTAGTAAGTCGTTTTCTATTGAATTGAAACAGACCGTTACACCCTGATTAAGACATTGTATTGTGCTGATCATGACATATGTTTCAACCACTCTTGGTCACCACTTCCTCTTCTTGCTGTTAGGCCAGAGAGCATATCTGGTGTTTCCAGTCACTTCACAAACATGCTCACTAATATGCTACAACACATTTCACCACTCTTAGGGGAAAAAAAGGTTATTTAGCTTTCCCCATAGGATAACCCTTTGAAGAACCATTTTTCGTTCCAGGTAGAACCCTTTTGGTTCCAGGTAGAACCCGTTTGAGTTCCATGAAGAAACGTCTACACAGAGGGTTCTATATGAAATCCAAAAGGGTTCTACTTGGAACCATAAAGGTTTCTCCTATGGGGACAGACGAAGAACCCTTTTGGAGTCCTTTTTTCTAAGAGTGTGGTTTTGTACATCAAAACATCCCATAAGATTAAAGCCTAACTCCACATATCCTATCACACTAAAGCAATTAATTTACAATCTTTCAAAACTTTTATGACAAGTTAAGAAAATGGCTGACATGGAGACCTTCCTTTCTCTTATTTCCTGTAAACACTCTGGCTGTGTTTGAATAGTCTCGTGAACTGAAGGAACCTTCCTTCCTTGCTAGTTGACCCGGAAGATTCTGAGCAGCAGCGAAGAAAGGACCATTGAAATTGTAAAAGGCATTAAGGAACGGCGCTTCAGTCATCCTTTCCTATCCCCTTTTACTGAGGCTACATGGATGTAACCTTTTGCGGAAGCGTTTAATATATAATAATAATATGCCATTTAGCAGACGCTTTTATCCAAAGCGACTTACAGTCATGCGTGCATACATTTTTGTGTATGGGTGGTCCCGGGGATCGAACCCACTACCTTGGCGTTACAAGCGCCGTGCTCTACCAGCTGCTCAATATCCAATAATTATCTAAGGTTGCCGAAACAGTCCAGAAGGAAAGTTAATTCATGGATGTAACCTTTTGCGGAAGCGATTAGGGAAATGTTCGCAGAGAGCGGGAACTAAAAACTGTCAGAGTATTTGAAGAAGAACCTGTAACAATGGATTCGTTCTCTGTCTGCTGTGGGAGATGTATTATTCTCATAAATGATGGGATGACTAACTTAGAAAAAATGCATTCTTCATTCTATTCTTGACTGGGCTAATGTAGGTTGTGTCACCTGGCAAGCTGTGATTGATGTGAAGAGCTGTTTTAGGAGTTAAGATAATAATTTGTGTCTCCAAATACTAGACTATACCGGTTCTTTGTGATCTGTGAACCATCCTTGGACGTAGGAATGGTGTCTAGGGGAGCTGGCTCTTCTCACCAAGACAGGTTGTTATGATAAGGACTTATGCCTGGCAACAGGGGTGCGTCAACGGATAGGCTGAGTATGTCTAAACCACGCTCAGCCTCTACTCTGATTGGCCAGCAGAGAGGTCGATTCCAAGATGGCGTAGCAGTGCGGTCGCTTTATTTCATCGTCCTGTGTAAATATCCCGTTTCTTGTTTTTTTTGTCTATTTTGTATATATCTCTTAATTTTTACTTTTCATTCTTTAACTAAATATACTTTCCTGCAACCCGCCTCACCCAACGTGGAAAGGATTCTATTATTTCTTTATAACTTTCATCAAGAACCGTGAGCTGATACTAGTGTAGCCGCAACTAAATGGCTACCTGTTATTAGTCACCGTTAGCGTCTTCCCCACTGTCCGTGGCCTACACTATCCACCAGCCAGCTCTAGCTCTAGCCTGGACAATTCGTCGGCCAGTCTGCACAGCGTGCTATCGACCCAGCGCGCTATCGACCCAGAGCTTATTGGACTTTCTGCCGGAATCACTGGACCCTAGCGCCGGATCATCACAACCAGCTAGCTAGCTGCAACCTGTTGTGGCTGATTTACCATTGCCCAATAGCAAGCACCAGTTAGCCCTGAGCTAGCCTCAGGCCCATCTCCTGGCTATCTACCTCTCTGTCAACCGGACGGGACCTCCTAGTGTTAACACTGAGCCCCGCCGATCCAACACGACTGGGTTTGCCGACGAAATAGTCTGATGTGGTTTCATCAGGCTTCCAGTTGCGACGACCACGAA